CCCTAACCCTAACCCTAACCCTAACCCAGGGTGGATCGAGAATTAGGGGCTGGCGGTTGGGACTTGTGAATTATTAGTCAACGCATTTTTGTATCTAGTGCAGCTATGTACACTTGCTTCTCCGAGCCTCAATCCAATTGACCTCTTCCACAACGCAACCCTTAACCAGACTTGTTTCACAGGATATTTCACGACATCAGATGCGACCATCGCAGAGTGCTTGTAAGCCTATCGACTATGAGAGCCTGACCATGATTGGCTTTGGCGGGTCAGCAGTCGTGTATGGCATTGATGAGGCAACCGTCCTAAAGGAATATTTCGATGAAAGTGACGAAGGCATTGCCATCGAACGTCGCGTATTCGGTCGACTCGGCTTGCATCGCAATATCGTGCAGTGTCTCGGCGAACCGAACAACAAATCCATGATTCTTGAGCGAGGACAACCCCTCTCGAATCTGACGGGGCATACAGAGACGACGAAGGCTCAACTCGAGCAAAAGCTGCGATGGATAAGAGACGCTGCGGAAGGATTACGATATATGCATCAGAGCGGAATAATCCACGCTGATTTTGGCTGTACAAACATGGTATTAGTCAAGGATCGCGTGAAAATCATCGATTTTGGAGGATGTAGTATTGATGGTAGCGAAGCACTTGCCGGCTATAACTGGTCCAATAGCCGGGGATCGACCTGTCCGAGCTTCGAGACTGATATATTCGCTTTTGGCTGCGCCGTATTTGAAATCTTAACCGGTAAACCTCCCTACTATGAGTTCAAAGACTGCCAGGAACGGCATGAGATAGTGCGGCGGCTGTACGCTGAACAACGCTTTCCTGCTGTTGAACAGCTGCCACTACGCGAGTTAATATTAGGATGTTGGCATGGCACCCTTAGCTCCATGGAGGAAGTTGCGCGATGCCTTGATGCGGCGTGTATTATACACAAAGAAATCGGTGGCACGGCATCTATTATTACGCATTTAATTAACAAGATACGGAGCTGCTTCCGATCGACTAGTCTTGCGGTAACAAAACAGCTTAAGGGCTAGACCGACCAGACAAACGGTCAGAGGCTGTTGGCCACGATAATTGCTCTTTCTACGTCTTAGAATAAGCGTTCTCACAGGGGTCTTTAGGGGCTCGTAACAGGGTACAAGAAGAGTTAATTTCTAGTAGAATTAGCAGAGTTTTTTATTATTAATGCATTGACATCCAATTCGACAAGTTGACACTCTGCGCTTCACTCGCTATAAGTAGCAGAATTTACTGAACGAGCTTCGCCTTATGCTTATCTTACACTAAGCTGCTAATATAATAGCCCTAATTCTATAAACTATAGCTAATTATTAGCTAGCTAAAGAAGATATATTACGATTAAGGTAAGCATAAAGGTACTTAGATATTAGGTTAGGGTTAGGTAGGTTAAGATTAAGTTAAGTAAAGGGAAGTAATAGCTTTTATAATATATACTATCTATTACTTTTAAGAGGTAATAAACTAAACGCTACTTATTACTTTTAAGGTAATGTGTAGTAGTATTTATACTTATAAGTTAAAGGAAATTAAATAGTGCATTTATCTTACTAGCTTTAATAAGTAAGTTATAAGAATTAAAAAGTAATCTAATATAAGAGAATAAATACACGCTTAAGTCTTTAATTTAATAAGTTTTACCTTTATAATAAGTTTATAAAATCTTTTATTAAAACTAATAAAGTAATTACTTTTAAGGTGTAATAAATTTAACGCTACTTATTACCTTTAAAGAGTAATAAATTAGGGAAAACGTAAAGGTACTTAGATATAAGGTTAAGGCTAGGCAAGTTAAGGTTAAAGCTATAATAAGAAAACTATATTTTTAATTTTAAAAAAGGCTTAAATATTTAATAATAAGTTAAATAAAATACTTAAATTATAACTCTAATGATATAAATTAGCTAATATTATAATTAATTAGCTTATATAAAAAAGTGGGTTCTCTTATCTTTTAATAAGTTAAAAATTTAAATTATATAATTTTATAAAAACTATTATATTATATAATTCATATAATTATATTGGGAGCTGGTTTAAACTCGGCTAGAGGTACCTTTAATTTTTCGGCTTAGTTACCTAAAAAAGGGGTTAACTCGTATTTAAGCACGTGAGTTTTAGGGGTGAAATTAAGTTAAGCTTACCTTAAAAATTAGCTAGTAAGCTTAAAGCTTTAAGGTAAAGGAAAATTAAGCTAGCACGTATTATAGTTATAATATAATATATCGCAGAAAAATTAAGATAATAGGTTAAGAATAAGTGAAAGCGAATAATTAATACTTATAACTTATACGAGAAAAAATACACCTTATATTATAATATAGTATAAGGCAGGAAAGGCTTTACGAATATAAGTGGGTTTTTCTTTCTTTAAGGGTTTTCCTACTTAAAATACGGGTTAATATACTAGAATAGGTTTAAAAAGCTCTAGCGTACTCAAATAAATAAATAAATATATAATTATATTATATTATAAAAACTATATTTATAGTTTTTTAAGTATTAAG